ATTTTTTATCGTAGATATATAGATAATATTATTATTTTTAGCAATAGTTTTGTGGAAGAAATTTTTACTAACATTTATCCTAAATATCACAAAATTTCTTGGCAAAAAATCGATAATGGAAAAACAGCAAACTTTTTAGATCTAACTTTCAACATAACTAATGAAATTAGCTATAAAGGATTTTCTAAATTTTCTAGATCCACTGCCTTCATCCACTATAAATCCAACTATCGATTATTAATGAAAAAGCAATTCGTCATTAATGAAGTTTCTCGTCTCTCATTAATCTGTACAAAAAAAGAAGACTTTTTATTAGAAAAAGAAAAGCTTCTTGACTTTCTTAATACAATTAAAGGATATTCTCTATATATCCTTAAGAAACTAAATTATCCTTCCTGGGAAAATCGCCTTGCTATTTTAAACAAAATTAATGAGAAAAAGGATAATCTCTACCACCAATTATCCTTAAAATACCTTTCGACAACGCTTTATTTAAAAGAAAAAATTACTCCTCTATATTAAATGAAGCCTTTGAAAGCTCTATGAATAAAGAAACTACTCAACGGCCACTTTTATGCATAACAAATTAACCATCCCTGGTCAGAATCCTTGCCCGGTCTTCGACCGAGCACCCTAACCCTAACTCTAACCTTATATAGAAATGACCAAATTAAATCTAATTCCAGCCGATCTCGGCTGAAAATTTCGGCTGCAAATCTCAGCTACAATTTTCGGTTAATAATCTTAGCTGCTAATCTCAGCTGCTAATCTCAGCTGCTAATCTTGGCTGCTGATCTTGGCTGCTGATCTTAGCTGCTAATCTTGGCTGCTAATCTCGGCTGCTGCTAATCTCGGTGCTAATTTTTTCAGAAATTAGTTACTTTTTTCTTTATTATTTTACTAGTAGAAAATTTTATATAAGTATGTAGTTTTTTTCGCTGTATTTTCTTTGTGAAATAACTGACAAGCTTTATAATAAAGCGAAAGTATACTATTAATAAACTTCGTATAAAAATAACCCTAATCTTTAATAAAAACTTATGTTCGTTTATAAATAAATGTCTAAAAAAATCTTTAATAATTACTTCAAAAATTTGGATAAAATACCCTCATAAACGGAGAAATTACAAACTTGCAGGCTAAATTAATAAACGAATTTGATAAACTTAAAGATTTAGATTCTACTAGTCCCAAATACAAAGAACTTTGTCTAAATATTGAAACCGATAATATAATACTTGAGAATCTGTTAAAAGAATATACTGACTTCATTAATATTGACACTATCGAAGGAGATAAATATATCGAAGAAAAGTTTAATTTCACATATAATATAACTAAATACCTCCTAGAAATAAAGAAAAGAAGACCTTCTGATACTCCATATAACCCTAACTCTAATCTAATCTAATATTAATTTTTTGAATATATAAAATTGCTATTATACAGATCTACAAATTATAAATTAAATATATATGTGATAAATTAGTATATTACTAAGTGTGATATGTATATTTTCTCTATATTATAGTATTTATAAAAAAAATTTATAAAAATGTATCCTAACTCTAAATTTTATTAAAAACAATTATATATAGTGTTAAACACCATATGTGCATTTTATAATAATTGTATAAAACAATAAAATTATAATAAAAAAAATTTTTATCAAATTTAAATAGGTAGTTATTGAGATATTATTACTTGAAGTTTGAAAAAACTTAGTTGCAATCTTTGTTATAATAATCTGCAAAATTTTTTTGAACTTTGAGCAGTAATATCTTAATAGTTATATATTTAAACTTTATAAAAATATTTTATTTTAATTTCATGTATATATATAATTTCTATGTATATATATAATTTCTATGTATATATATAATTTCTATATATATATATAATTAAAGTAAAAAATCTATCAATTTTAGATTGGTACTTATCCAGATATTGTCGCTCAAAGTTCAAAATAAATTTGGGTAATTATCAAAACTAAAATTACAACTAAGTTTTTTCAAACATTAAGCAATAATAATTCAATAACTACTTATTAAAAATTAATAAAAAGATTTTTATTTTAATTTTATTGGTTTATAGAACTAAAATAAAAATTTATATAAATTTTAGATAAGTAATTATTGATATATTTTGCTCAAACTTTGAAAATTTTTATCACAGCTTGGGTACTTAGACAATAGTTAACTAAACATAGTAGCCTGCTATAACAATTTTTTAGTTGATTAAACCAATTCCAATATTTAATTATAATTGCTTAGAAAAAGTTGAAAAAAAGATATTTACAATTTAATTCTCTTACTTATTTATCAATAATGAACATATATCCAGCATGATGGACATTCGATTTAATTGGCTTGAAGATCCCTGAGTTATACAATATAAATAAAAATTTTTATAGTAACCCTTACTATGAAAAACCACATCGTCAATTGGTAACTCATAGTTTTATGCAACAAATTTTTTTTTAAAACATTTTAAAGTATTTTGTATCTCTTCATATATCTTTAGTGAAGTATAGATCAGTATCACTAAAGCTTCATTTAGAAAGCAAATTTAGACAATGAATGTAGTAATGAGCTTTTGAATTCAAAAAAATTTTAACTTTGGCCACTTTAATACTTATAAGGTAAAATTAACATGACTATAATAGTACAATTTTAGAAGGTATATAAGTAACAGCTTAACCTTTTTTTCATCTTTCTCAACTCTAATACTATGTTGATTGTACTAAGTTCATAAAGCTGTCTTAGAAGGTGGACCTTCCTGCCTGTGGCAAGATATATGTTACGTAAAAAGGTAGATTTTTTTAAAAAAATTGAAAGTATGTCATTTTCTGATCCTCACAATACAGAAGAAGAAATTGCACATAGTAGAGTCTATTTTATAAAGGAAAAAATCCTGTATTAAAATGTACAAACTTTTATATTTAATGTTTAGGACTATTGTAGATAGTAGTGAATTTTTTTTAGCCAACAATAAAAGACACAATGGAGTACACCAAAAACTGCTACTTACTGCTAAATAGAATAATCTATATAAATAAACAATTATTATCATTATAGAGGGTCTGTTGCATTTAAATTACTTCATGAATCAAATAATTGTTATAAAGAATTTATAATAGAGATAATTCTTATTATTAATTATATTCATTATTATTATTAAAATTAACAACTCAAATATATTTTTCCTTTAATAATAAGTAAAAGTATATTATGAGATCAGTTTTAAAGATCCAACATTTTTAAAATATTTTGGTGTATCAAAAGATAAATAGAATATGCTTTAGAAAGCATACTAATCAAGCATTAATAACTGCATTATTGGCAGAAGATATTAAAACACCATGTTGCTTTGCAAAAAAATCACATGCTATAACACAAATAGATTGGAGAGATTGATTAAATCTGTTACAATTTATTATATATAATCTTTATCTCAAGATTTTATTCATTGTAATTTACATAGTAGAAATATTTTATTAAGTGTATACATAGCAGATTTAGGGCTTTCGATAATAGCTAATATTGTATCAAAATCAAATTCAGATAGCATTTATCATATATTACTTCTAAAATTATTCATATAACAATAAATCTAATATTTATTCATTTGTCATAATCTTGTAGGAATAGAATAATCAGTATGATTAAAGGTGCTATATAATAGAATTAAATATTTATACTTTGGTTTATAAGCTTGATTCTCTGATTTAATTATGCTAATTAGACGATTCTGATTTTAATTCTTCAGATTAATACTGATTTTCAAACTTGTATATTGACTGAAGTAATCAATGCAAATAAGTAAGTTGAAAAGCACTGTATAATGATAAATAGAGATTTAAGTTCTTGGGTTTGTGAACTTGATTTGCTGCTTTTAACTCTATTTAATAATAACTAATCTTTACACTTGCAGGCTAAATAGAATATGAATGAAATGATTTAAGGTTTACATAATGGTAATTAAGTATTGTCACGGCTAAAACTGGAAATTTTAATTATTTTAATATGAAACCTTCAAGAATTTTTGGGGTGCATTTTTTTAACTTTTTTTAATGGCTAGGGTAAAGAATAGGTTAATGTTGGTTAGGTTTATATTTTTAAATTGAGATCTCTAATTTTCAGCTGCGACAAATATTTATGCCTTGGTTTGTAAACTTGATTTCTGATTTAATTTTGCTGATTAATGATATTCTAATTTTAATTCCATATTAACACTGATTTTTATACTCACAAACTGATATTTGTTTAGGTTACCAACCTAAAATTAGATGCGAAGTTTCTCAATTACTGTTGGATCTGATAAATAAATGCTTAGACACAGATCCTCAAAACTGATTAACTGCTAGTGAATTAGCTGATATACTGAGATATTTTTTGATGGATCTGAAAAATAAAAAAACTAGATTATATAAGCAAGTTAAAGATTTAGACATAAATTTCTTATTATACAATTAAATCAAATCAAATCAACATGATTTTGACATCAGACACACCCACAAGCTATTTATACAAGTTGATTTTTGAATCTTTTAAAACTCACACTTATATTTTTAAAAATGTTAGTAATATTTATAGTAAAAATTTCTGAATTTGTTAATATATTAAATGCCAATAATGATAATATATTTTTAGTCAACTCAGTCAATATTCAATAGTATGGTTTGTTGCTTTAACTCCATCTGATAATGACTAATTTTAATTATAGAATGAATAGAATGATCAATGTGATGCGTATTAAAAATTTAAATGAAATTATATATTAATTAACTATTTATAAACTTACTGTTTGATATTATTAAATAATTGGAATAATATTGGCATTTTTATTAGTAATAAAGATAAAATCAATTATAAGCATGTTAAAAAATATACAGTATATGTATAAAATAAACATAATAAATAAAGTATAATTTTTTTTATTATAAATTTTATATATATTTAACATTATTATAAATTTAAATATAGTCAAGTTAAATTAAACTATATAGTATGCAGGATATTTTTAAAATTTAACTGTTGATAAAGGCTGAACTCAAGTTAATACGTAGTCTAAAAATTATAGTATTAACTTGAGTCAAGACTATGTTTTTTAAGCTATGAGTTGTCTCAAGTCCAATCTCTAGTAGTTGGCTCTTAATCATGAATAGAGAATTAAATTGAGTCTCTTGATTAATACATAGGTAGTAGTTTTTGATTAGTGAGTGGGTTTTATAAATAGCAGGTAGTTCTTGAGTAGCAAGTAGATTGATTCTTAACTAGTAGGTGTGTGGTTTGAAAAATAACTTGTTATAGTGAAGTCCTTAGACTAAAATAATCTTTAGAATTCAAAAATTTTTTGCTATACTGATTCTTCACTATAATGAGAGTGTATATTATTTTGTTCAGCAGATTGTATCATAAAACTTAGAGTATTTGTTGTAAAATAAATATTTTACTTATTGCAAAATAAATAATATTGTATACATATGAAATATGAATACATAGTTATAAGCTCTAATTAATGTATTATAAGACTATTATACATGCTTTTAGAGAGTATTAACTAATTTTTTGAAAGTTTAATGAGTAATAAAATTTCATCCAGACATAGCTGATACTTTATCCAGAGAATGATCTATATTTTTTCCAGAGTATTTTAAAAACCAATTAAAATAAACTTCTACTATACTGCTAATATCAAATTTCACTTTATAGTATTATAGATATCTAAATTTATACAATGATTTACATTATACATATTGTTTATTTTTTTATATTTTTAACCAATTAAAACAAATGTCTACTATGCTCATATATCCAAGATCAAGAAATTTTAATTTCTTATTGGCAAATATAGATTTATAGATTGTAGCATTTTCTTAATACATGGTTATTTAAGCTAGAGTATTTAAATTTATACAGAACTAATTAAATTAAGATGCTTAAATAAAAGATATTTAAGACTACACTTCAATGCAAAAAAAATAATCACAAGGATACAAATAATAAGAGTAATACATGTTATACTGATTATATTAATATCTAAATATACTAATATCTGGATATAATATTATTTTTAAAAATTTAATATATATATAATATAAAATTTTTCTAGTTAAAAACAACATTTGAATATACAGTTAACTCTTTCTGGACCGAAATTCCCACTAACAGAAAAACAGAAAAATTTGTTGAAGAGATGTAGCCTAGTGGTGGTTTGTCTAGAGATCAACTTACTGCTATAGAGGACTCCTCTAAAAGCGACATTTGGCATGCAAGCCAAGATCATTATTATACAAAATAACTAGCAGGCAGTGCCCTTGTATAAAAATCTTGGTGGAGAGTGGGTAATAAAGCCCAACTTCATCAATGAAGCTTTTAGGCTATTACTTTAAAAAAGAATACAGGGAAA